CTATCATCCTTTTCAGCCCAGTGAGTACTCATAATTCAGATCAAGTGTCACTGCCTCTCTCTAGTTGATTACTTTCACTTAGTGTGCTTATTTTTATTATTTCTATATTGTATTCAAATTATATATTTGCCTCTCTATAAGCTTTGCCACAGCCCTTTTAGCTTCTTGAGGACAGAGGACAGTCATAGCATCCAACCTGATTGTCTATCACTTACATATAGCCAAGTGGCGGCTGAACAGCTGCCACATGTTAAGCTAACCCTTGAATTGAACAAACAAACTCTATCCAAGTTTAACACCTACTATTTGTAACATGCTAAGGGCTGCCAAGCCAGCGATATGCATAATCCACATCCGGGACTCATCCAAACAAATGATACTCCTGACACTCAGAATTCTCTGATTCAGATGACCCATTCCATGTGATGACTTCTATTTTTACTGAAATTTAGCCATTATCATCATCACTGGGTATTGCTCCACCTCCAAGATCTCAAACTGAAATTCCTTCTTTGACCACAAGATCCATCTCAACCACTCAAAGTGCTCTTCCCCTTTATGGTGTCACCGTCCTGCACCTCCTCACCTGTTTATGCCGCTGGCCTGGTCAGGCCTCCCCTCTCCAGCCTGGACTGCATGACCAATCATTTCAATCATGCTCTCTCTCATTAGCATCCATGGCTACAATGCCCTGCTGGCTCATCATATGTGCTCTTCCCATTTCCAACTCTGTGTTAACTGAAGCACATTTGTTCTGGTTTTTATTCTTACGTCTGAGCCCGGCCTTGAAAATTTGGATTACCTTTCCTTAATGTGAATTCTCAAAACATTATTTCATCCCTCCATGTCAGCTTTTTCCTGTATTACCAGTCATCCTTCCCTTCTCTAAGGTCTCAGGGAAAGAGATGTCCCTGGATCCTCTCCAAGGATAACCTATCTGGATACCATTGCTTTCTCTCTTCTTTAGGATCTTAATCGACTCCTTTAACATCTTCAACTTTACCTTTTCCCCTGACCTTGACCCTGATCCCATCTCAAGATACATTTCATTTCTTTTGTTACATTCATGAAAGAATAGTTAGTTCATGTCACCTTTATTTCCTAACTCCTCACACATTTATGATCCGCAATCTGGATCCTCCCTTTACAAACAGCTCTTGCAGGTCACCTATTCGTTGTCAAATCCAAGGGGATCTCCTCATTCTGCGCAACTTCTTTGCAGTACTTATATCACTGATAACCACTTCTCCTCCGTTAAACTTTCTCCTTTCTAGGCTTTTTTGTCATTTAACTACCTTGGTCTTCCTCCTGTTTCTCTGACCTGTCTCATCTATTGGCTCTGCTTTCCAGAGCCAAACCTTAAATGTGATCATACCATAAGAAGCTGGCCTCAGCTACCTTTTCCCACATACTCTCTCATGATGACCACATTCACAGAGATAGCAGTAACTCCTAAATCCTGACATGTTTTCAAACTATTAATCACATTTCTGACATGGTCAGATAATTTTACATTGAGTAGGAGATTACAATGGACATCCTCCTATATGATGCAATTGGATCCCATGTTGGTCATTTAATTTTTTAAAAAGCAATTAGCACAGGAATCCATTAAAAACACATATACAAACACTTTAATTTTAAATATAACCATAGTTTTATTCACAAGTTCTTTGGGCATGGGTCCACTGATTGAAAATTCTTGTATAAATCACCCACACTGCAACAAATAAAATTTCCAGTCTATTTTTTTTTAAAGCAAAGCAGAAATTTAAGATGTGTAAAATAATTTGTGTACAAAATCTTTCAGGATTTTTATTATTTCTTTCCCAAATCTTTTCTAATTCTTAACTATACTTTTGCAGCAACCTTTAAAAGCTACTTACTTATATTTAAGTCTTCCAAAGCAGTCAATTTTATTTTCTTATAAATAGTTCTCCTTAACACTGAGGTTTCATCATTTTATCTAATATTTAATTAAAATGCATATTATAACAACTAACATCATAGGAACAACACAACTCGCTCTGGGTAAGCATTCCACTCCACTGGTGGAAACAAGTGTGTGGATGTACTGGCCAGTAGCCTGCCAGCCACAAGCATTCAGCATGCTCTATGTTTTATAGAGACAATGGAGAATGATGGTTAATCTGGTGAGGCACTCGGGTGAAGGTGAAAGAGCCAGTCTACAGTTTAAAACCATGTCAAGGCAGGAATCTTATGGAGGTAAGAATCCTATCTAACCCTAGATCTCATTACCTCTACTCTTTTCAGTGGCACAATATTCCTAGACTTATACTTTAAAAATTTGATGAGTGATTTTAAGATTATACATGGAATGATAATTTAATTAAAATATTAAAGTGGAAAAACGATTAATAATCCCTGAAAAACAGACATGTCTACTCATGGCCAATTTCTCATGTCTTTAAGGACTGTGAAAGCTTATTTACTCTACATGGCTTACAATAATGGAATTCCTTCCCCATTAAAAATATAAAATTAGGACTTTTATGATCCTACTCTCCTTTTCATATTATCTAATATTCGAGTGATTGCCACTAAAAAGTTTAAATGAATGCAATATTTGGGTAACACAGAAAACCTTCCTGCTGCCAACATTAAAATAACAACAACTGGTTTTAATAATCTGGTAGAGATTTGCCATATGTAGCAGAAGTGAGAGGTGAACTTAACTCATTAACCTCAACGGAGTACAGAAGGCAGAATCCAGAACTCAGTGGATGATAATTGATCTATATTACTAACTTTGAGGGTTACTAATTTTGTGTTTTAGTCCCCAAAAGTTAGTTTTTCCCCAATTTAGAAAAAAGCTTCTAAATACAACTACAAATTGAATAACTGGAGGAAGTATCACCTTTTGTTTTCCTGCAACCTAAAAAGGAAAAACAAAGGCAATATTCAAAAAATACATTGTTATGATATGTTTGAATGAATTTTTAAATCTCTTTTTCTGGCCAGGTGAGGTGGCTCAAGCCTGTAATCCTAGCACTCTGGGAGGCCAAGGCCGGAGGATCGCTCAAGGTCAGGAGCTCAAGACCAGCCTGAGCAAGAGTGAGACCCCATCTCTACTAAAAATGGAAAAAATTAGCCGGGCATGGTGGCACATGCCTGTAGTCCCAGCTACTCAGGAGGCTGAGGCAAGAGGATTGCTTGAGCCCAGGAGTTTGAGGTTGCTGTGAGCCAGGCTGACACCACTGCACTCTAGCCTGGGCAACAGAACAAGATTCTGTCTCAAAAAAAAAAAAAAAAAATCCCTTTTTCTCCACTAATACTTCAGAAGAGTCATTAAATTTCTGTTTTGCTTGTTATGGCTATTCATGCTTTTGAAATATTAGTAAAACATTCAAGAAAAAACAATTTTTAATGAACATTCATACTAAAAATCTACATATAATGAAATACTCAATTTAGGATTTGTTCAAATTTGAGATTTTTAATTGGCCTGTGGGTGGATCTGACGTGCTGTTAATTGTTGTACATAATTAGGGATGTGTAAACAAAATATTTCAGCCTAAATTGAATTATTCTATCAGGTAACATGCAACACTACCTAACCTTTTGCAAACTGCTGTTCTCTTCTTTTTTTTGTAAATACTGTCATACTAAAAAAAAAAAGAGTATCTCAGCACTGAGATGCAAGTAAAACTGACATTTTACATAATCTGCCTCCCTGACTGTCTTTTAATATTAACTTGATTGTTTTTTTCCCATCTCTTACTGTTATATAAGAAGATGCTAAACTAGTCAACCAAAAGAAAGAATGAGAAGGAAAAAAGCATTTTTATGAGGATTTCAAATCTTATTTTAAACCACTGATGAAAAATAATGTACTTCAGTAGTGGTTCACAAATACAATAAGAACAATGATAGCCATGATAATACATTATATCATATGACCATTTAACTTTACCTTCAACCAACTGGTCATGAGCTTAATCGTCTACTACAGCTGTAGTAGGTCAGAGAGAAATCCAGCCCAAAGAAAGCTGTTCAGTTATAGCTGTAGTAGGAATAAGCCTTTATACCTTTTACCTTGAGGATTAGTCTTTTTTTCCTAAAACATCTAAACACATCAGACATATAAAAAATTCAACTATAAATGATATACTAGAAAATCTTTAATCAGTCAGGAAATCAAAAGGTCAATATTAGTTTATATGTGAAATACAATGAGCACAGAACAATTAAAGCAGAATTTGATTTAGTAAGTAATTCAAAAAGTCTTCTTGGTTATTGAAATGAGTCCCTCTGAGAATAGTCATTTCTATTACTTAATTGCTCATGAGTAACTGAAAATGGCAAATTGGAACAGTCTTGAGCTGCTGGAAAGTTTGTGGTTTTCTCTATTTTTTCCACTAGTATTTCTCCAAGACCAGTAAGGGTCAACATGACCAAGAGTCATTCTCCAGTGTCCCTTCTTCAAAAGTTTCCTAAAATTAACAAGCAAGGCTGGGTACTTTCAGAATCTCAGAATATATTTCATCAGGGCCTCTAGTTTTACAGATAGAGAGTAACTGTGCCTGAAAAAGTAGAGACTCATCCAAAGTCACAAGACAGTGGCAGGGCAGGCCCTGGCATTGAAGGCCTCTCGGCAGTGACTGTGAGGGCAACCACAGGGGCACATCTTGCTCTGTGTCACTATCCCCTTTCCACATGACCCAGACTGCACAACAGAAACCGAATCTTCTCAAGCTAGGAGTCTCACCAACCTCAAAGATAGTACTGTGTCTTCTTCCTAACATACTACTTATCATGGTCATTAGCAGAAACTCTCAGTTGGTACATCTGCTAAAAAGAATGTCAAAACCACCTGTGATGAAATAAAGCCTACAAAAACAGTACTAAACAAACCTTTACTTTTTGATGTAAAGTGGTTTAAAAAAAAGGAATGAGTTCTTTCATCATCATCAAGAGAGTACATCTGACATCAATTAACTCTCAACTACTTTAAAGTGAAGAATTAAACACAAAATTACCTTTGAACGTTTCAAGTTCCTTCCTGTAGAAAAAAAGAAAATGCAAAATTAAAATAATCAATTCCCAACTGCTCATTACATTATAACAAAAATGTATGTGCTTTAAATGCCTAGAGTGGTATTTCTGGATGCTCACATATCAATTATGCTTTACTGAAATTACCAATACGTTAGTCTAAAGCAACTATTTTTAGTTATTTCTGTTATTATCTATTAACAGCTAAAAAAAAAAAATCCTACCAAAATTTGAGCTATTAAAACACTTATAAGAAAACAGAGAGCATTTTAATGCCAGCTATGAACATCTCATATATATAAGAATCAGTTTATAACAGCACTTAACATGATTTTTCCTCCATTGATAAAGACTAAATAGTGGGTTTCTGAGATCTTTAGTTAAACATTATCCAGCATAGGAGTAGTTATTTCGCCCTTTCAATAGCAGAGGAGGAAAGGGGGAAAGCACATATGAAAGGATGGAGATCCAGAGCTCATTCTGCCACAAAAGGTCCAAGCCTCCAGCAATCTTCTGGTTTGTTATTTTGTCAATGTCAATTAAGGATGCCAAAACACAAAGCTTCCCGGGGAAATGTACAGTGGGGGAAAAGAGATTAATGATTATAAAATAAACATTTTGTGACAAAGAGGACAAAGCAAGTTACTTCCAGGTCTTCTCCTATAATTTTGCAATTATATATTTTTTCTCATTATCAGTACTAATAAAAAGTAATATTGAGGAGGCAAATTTATTTAGTAAAGGCTTGTTATCCCACTTAAAATATGAGACATTTATCTTTTATTTGCACTCTAGATTTTACTAAAAATCTAGAGATGTTTTCAATCTCAAATCAGTATTCTACACTTCTAATTACAATAACCCTCATGTTCCAAAATAGTTGACTACAATTAACAGCTGGTACGAAGGACTGGCAAGATGCCTACCGAAAGGCCAAGCAGATGATGTTCTTGCAACAGCTAAAGTGAAGGTTCTTAAATCAGATGGTCATCCCACTCCTCCTTTCCTAAAAATACCTACTCCTTATAATAATTCTCCAGCACCATGGTTCATAAACTAGGAAAGAGAATATAATTTTCGACCCTGTCTTTTCAAAAAACCATGTAATTGTTTCCCTTCAGCCAATAGTCAATTTCAATTTTAAAAGCTTAGCCAGACTGTGCGTGGTGGCTCACGCCTGTAATCCCAGCACTTTAGGAGGCCAGGGTGGGAGGATCAGCTTGAGGTATGGAGTTGGAGGCCAGTCTGACCCCATCTCTACAAAAATTTTTAAAATTAGCCAGGTGTGGTGGTGTGTACCTGTAGTCCCAGCTAACTCTGGAGGCTGAGGCAGGAGGATCACTTGAGCCCAGGAGTTCAAGGCCCCAATGAGCTATGATCATACCACTGTACTCTACCTGTGGTGACAGAGCAAGATCTTGTCTCTTAAAAAAAAAGTTAGCTAGGTACAAGTTAAAAAACCTAAAAAACCTAAAACCTACCTTATGCTCCAATACAATAAAGGGATGAAAACCAAAGTACTTAATGGGAAAGCAGCACATATCCTAAGAATCTTGAAAAGACACCTTCAATTTACTTGTTAGTGATGCCCTCACGTTAGCAATCCCCTGAGGTCACTGATGGTGTGCGGGGCATTGAGAGAACGTGCAGATCAATATTCTAAAGGGCATGTGGTGTTCACGTCTTTTTCTTTTGAAAAACTCCAAAGCCTTGTCTTTAAATGAAGGGTTCTTGATCTCCATGTGGAGAAGCAGTTTTGAAGTTTCCATGGCTTTGTTGGATAGCTGGCTGCCATAGATTATACAAAGCAGGCTTGGAGAATGTGAATCACCTGTTGCAATGAACCTGTAATTTAAGTAGGACTCTTGGTATTTTCTTTTAAATGCAGCTTTCATTTTGTTGGCAGTCTTAGAGTCTGCTGCTGTCTCATCATTGGGTCTTTCCCCCTTTTCAAAGAAGCTCTCCAGTGACGTTTGTCTTTTGCTCATTTTTGCTAGGGATAGCTTGTGGACTTACCAAAACTGCGACTGAGACAAGTGTGTAGTGTGTGAAAGAGGCATGGATGGAAGTGGGAAATAAAATAATGGGCAGGCCACATGTGGACTAAAATAAATGTGGGATTCTGACTTACAGCCTGCCACCACCTGCAGCTTCACAATTAAGATGCTCGCTTGCCACTATAAAGCCTGTCACCAGATGCAGCTTAATTGTTACTTGCCAGTCACTGATAGGGTTTTGATTCGAGTCTGTAAGCAATTGATTTATTATGGTTTCTGTTCAGTCAAATCTCTCTGTTAATGATAATCTGTATTTGCAGCTGCTCCCCAGCACTAGCATCACCGCCTCAGCTCCACCTCAGATCATCAGGTAGTAGATTCTCATAAGGGGTGCACAACCTAGATCCCTCGCATGCTTGGTTTACAGTAGGGTTCGTGCTCCTATGAGAATCTGACGCTGCCGCTGATCCGACAGCAGGAGCTTATGCGGTGATGTGAGTGACGGGGAGCGGCTGCAAATACAGATGAAGCTTCACTTGCTCGCCCGATGCTCACCTCCTGCTGTAGGGCCTGGTTCCTAACAGGCCATGCAACAGTACCAGTCCGAGGCTCGGGGGTTGGGAACTGCAGTGTTAGAGGTACTAAGATGGCAGCGGAGGCATGTCCAGCAGAGGCAGTGGTGGCTGGGAAGGCATGGAGCCCAAAAGATGCAGGTTATAGGCAGGGAACTGACTTCAGTGCAGCAATACTGGAGCAAGTATTTGTCCTGGAGCAAATACTTAAGAACAACAGCAGGCTGAATGAAGAGAAGGCAGTTCAGATTAAAAGGTAGATGGTTCTCAGTGCCAGGCTGAAAGATTTGGTTTTATTTTTAGTAGAGAATAACATGAGCAAAGCTGTGCTTTAGGAAGAACATTCTAGCCGTGATGGATGGATGTATTGGCAAGGGAGAGAATAAAAGCAGAGAGTACTTAGGAAACTATGAGAGTGGTTTGGAGAAGAGCTAATTAATGCCTGGCAAGAGTGACATAAGTGGCAACGGCAATGAAAAGAGGAGTGCCATTTGAAAAGTGCTCAACAGCCCACGGCACCTGATTGAATGGGATGGGGGAGGAAGATGACCAGCCTGTTATACAAGGGGTCCGGTCTGCTTCTCCAGAAGGAAGAGAAAAAGATCTCGGGCAGCGCATGAGTTCAGTTTGGGAATTGCTGAAATACCCTGGAAGGCTGGGGGTGCTGCAGACAGGATTTCCACCCCCTTCAGCCTACCCAAGGACTCAGCTCTGACGACTCCTCCCTCCCTCACTTCACATTCACTCCTGAACCCATTCCAATTTGACTCCTGGACCCCACTACCACACAACCAAGGCCACCAACAATCCAAAAGCCGATTCTCACTTTTTATCCTAATCCCTCAGCAGCATTTGACCCAATTGGCAGTTTCTTGAGAAAGTCTCCTCTAGGGTTCTCCTTCAGTTTCTTTTGCTAGCAGCTCTACCCCTTCCAGAATACTAAATGCTGGTGTGCTGCAGGCTTGGTTCTGGCTCCTTTTCTCTCCTTAACATTCATTCAGAAGGCAATTTCATCCAGCTACATAGCTCTAAATACCATCTATACATTACTGACTTCCTGATTTACATTTCCTCTCTCGACCTCTCCTTTGAGCTCCAGACTCACATGCAACTGCCTGTTTGATGGTTTTACTCAAAAGTGAAATAAGCTTCTCAAACATTTGAGCCTGCTCACCCTCCAGTTTTCCTCATCTCAATTATCAGCCCCTCAAGTTTTAGTTCATCCATATCACTGACTCACCACATCCAATCCTGTCAGTTCTACCTCAGAACATAACCTGAATTCATCCATTTCTCTCCATCATCACTGCCATCAACCTCATATAAATATATCCATTTTCTTATACTCAGTATAATCTTTGTTGAGTTCAATCATTCATTCAAAAAAATTCACTGAGCCTTAGACACTGGGAATAATGTTAGGAATACCATTAGCAATAATGCTAGGTTTGGGATATACATGTTCCATAACCTCAAGGAATTTTAGTGGGAGAGACAGAGAAGTAAAGCAGTAATTAGAAACTGATGTCATAGATTAGTGCTTTGGTAATGACATGCTGAGAATTACCTAGGAATAAAGAAGAGGGGGCACTTCATACACTTTGGTTTGGTAGGAAAGTCTTCCTGGAGAAGCAAGCACTGAATTGATGAGTTTTGAAGGAAAGCATAATTGATGATGATGATTGGGTAACATTCACTGAGAACATGGCAAATATTTTACTCTTAATCAGTATGTCACACTCTCAGTTCACCAAATGAAAAAGTATAGGTAAGCAGGAGTTTTAAGTTTTGGCTGTTCTCCTTGAAACTCTATTAAAAACAGTAATAACAATAATCAGTGTAAAAGAGTCTTCAAGTTCATCTTTTCCATGAAGGCTTCCTTGACATCCAATCAGTGATCTCTCCATTTATCTAAACTCCTATAGCAATTTAACTCTATCAGCGTTATACACCTCAGAACTGCCTTGTAATGTGGTTATATCCGTACAGGTGTCATCTCTAGAGTTACACCACAGAGTGCAGAGACCAGATCTTATCTGTCCTGCATCACGCATATGCACAGAGTTGGATCCAAGAGACATTCAGCAAATCAGAATTATCAAGTACCATGGCTGCAGAATGACTAAGAATATCTGCTTCTTCAAAGAGACCGCTGCTGTAATTACAGAATATTTTATTTTTTATTCTTTTGGAGACAGGGTCTTGCTCTCTTTTGCCTGGGCTAGAGTGCAGTGGCATCATCATAGCACACTGCAACTTCAAACTCCTAGGCTCACGAGATCCTCCTGCCTCAGCCTCCTGAGTAGCTGGGACTACAGGTGCACACCACCACACCCAGCTAATTCTTCTTATGTTTTTGTAGAGATGGAGTCTTGCTATTGTCCAGCCTGGAATATTTTATTCTTTATAAAGTTCATCACATATTATCTCATTTGATA